AAAAAAAAAACATTATAAATACCTTTTTTTCCCGTTTTATAATGTGATCACATACCCTCTAAGCTCCCTATGCAGTTGAGAACAGAAAGCTGGACGAGGAGAAACAGCAGCATACTAAACTTCCCAGTGAATGGCTGTCCCAGGGGAGGGGGTATCAGCACAAGTTTGATCATTGGAGGAGAGCAGGCTGAGTTCCCAGCACAGCTAGAGAACTGACCATGCTGTGCTCTCATGCCTAGTGTGGTCAGTTTTTATTAGGAAAGAAGAGGGACTGGCAGGTATACCAGGGATTTCACACAAAAGAAGCAATACAAAGGGAACAGGATACTTTTCCATACAAGTGCATGGTACAGCAGGCACATATCAGGAATATGAAATGTTGGGCTCACATATTAACTATTGATCAAAATCTACTTCCTTCTAAGTGACACGCCATTTGAATGGGTTGTTGACTATAGATCGATTATTCTTAATCAAAAGAGAATGATTGAAAAATAAACTGATCATTTATTGAAGTGCGTATGGTCCACACACATTACAATCTCTGTAAAATTAGATTTACCAAAGATATGTAATATAAGAACCTACCTAAACAGTCCATTCAATTAGTATAATATTAGGCAGGTGCTTACACTACACAGTTGATGGTACATGGAAAGGAGATTGTACAATTAGATTGTACAGTGTATGGTCAGCCTTACCGAGGCAATCACAGGGTCATGTGATTGGCTGCCATGGGCTCCTGAAGCAGAAGGGCAGTGATGGTATTCACATTTAATGCTTATGAGTCTTATTTTACACAATACATTTTGGAAAAGATGCAATAAAAAGTCCATTTTATACTTGATCTATGGACTTATATCAACCCCCACTGGCAAGCTAATAATCGGGCGACAATTTGACTTGAGATCAAACAACATTTAGCCCTTGGTTCACATCTGTGCGGGTGGTGCCGCTGCGGATCCGCACGAAAATCCGTGCAACTGCACCACTCGCACAGAGGAATGCGGACCGCCGGGTGGGTGCCATTACTTTAATGGGACGCCGCCCACACTCGAAAACGCAACCGTACTGGGAACTGAGGTTCCCCTACGGGCTGCGTTTTCAGAAGAAGTGCAGGGACTTCTTTCCCTGTGTGTCACGGGGCACAGGAGTCCATTCAAATGAATGGGTTCTTGTGCCCGCGCAAAACGCAGCCCGCACAGCCGCATATATGTGAACTGGGGGTTAAGGACTGGCCCTGTCATATGTAGCGAGAAAATCGCTGTGTGCAGAACAGAAAGCCTAAGTGTCATATGAGCGCGTTATAACTCCCTAGAGGAGTGTTAAGCACCCCAGTCCTTTCCATTGGGTTTTGTTATCAGGACCAGGACTGGGCTGTATATCACCATGCTTACAAGTCAGCTCAGGTCCCTATTTATTCACAGAGTTTAGGTGACTTATACTGAAATTGATTTGATCACATTTGATTTGAAATTAACAAGTGAAATACAATGATGAAAACATGGCACAGAGAATCAGGGAAAATTGTTGCACCAAAAACATACAGGTACAAATGACAATATTAAATCATAGAGTGAAAATATACTACAGTGCATCTTTAAAGCTGAACTCCAGCAAAAACAGCTAAATAAGAATGGGAGTTGTTTTACCTGCAGAAGCATTTGAATGTCTGTTCATACAGTTCTGAAATGTATGCAGCTCTGCCACACAGAACAGTTTTTCTGTCTGGAAGGGAAGGAGACCCGATTTTTCTCTGCTGCGGATCAGCAAAGGTCTTGTCCCTCCCCCAGCCTGTGACTGGACAGTGAAAAGAGAAGCAGCAGACTGATGAGCTCATCTGTTTGCGCTCTCCTCCTATCAGTATGTTTTTTGTTAGCACATACACAGCTGATTGCGTCCTTGCATTGCGTCCTTGCATTGCCGCTCCCCCTCGCAGACTGCATTCAGCATGTCCAGGAGCAGCGGCGTTTTGGCATAAAAAAAATTTGACATGTGTGAACACGTTAGACGCATCTAAAATGCACGTTTAGCGCTTGAGAGTTTATTCATTTCAACAGCCAGAATAACTGATTATTCTGGCCATTGAGAAATACATTACCGCTCAATTGCTTGACGTGCCTAAACGTGTTACACGCTTTTACAAGCATCAAGTGTTTTTTTCTGCCGAAACACCGCTGGCCGGAGGAAAGATGTCTAGGAGAGATGGCCAAATGCCCAGAGTACATGAGGCCTAATTCCTGGAGCTCAGCTGTAAAGAAATTTAAAAAAAATATAGTACATACATTGTATGCGATAATGTATTGATTATAACTAAAAGAATCCAATTCAGAATCCAGAAAAAAAATATGGTACATACAAAGAAATATGGCCCAGCTAGAAGTACCTTTAATAACTGGTTATTCAGTCAGGTAGCTGATGATGTCATGATGTTATAGCAGGAACATGATATCCATACAACAACTCTTATAAAGAGTCATGGGTAGATACAAAATAACACTGCACCAAATGGGGCCCACATAATGTGCCACTTAAAAACAACACCAGCAGATCAGGGAAACTATACAAAAATCCCAAACTGTGTTTTTGCACCACATACAAAATTAGCAACACTGAAAGAGAAAAATGTTAGAAAGATTCGTTATCAATGATCAACACCACAATATAATGAACAATTATTGATTCCTTAACAGGTGCACGCTCCAAGGGTAAAATAACTTGCAGTTGCGTTTATAGTGACAATCCACAGGAATTTGGCTTAAAAAAAAAAAAAAAAAAAATTTGGCCCCTTTCACATGGGCGTTCCGTTTTTTTCATTAGTTCAGTCACATTTTTTCCAAACAAAAAAAGGATCAATTTACACCGTATTTCATTATTATTATTATACAGTATTTATATAGCGCCAAAGGGTATGCTCAGCGCTGTACAGTAGCAGGGGGACATAACATGAGACAAGACAGTAACAGTACAATACATGAGGGGTTCGAGGGCCCTGCTCTTTCGAACTTACAATCTAGGTGGGAGGGGAAGGTGGTACAGGAGGAGATGGCTGTGAGGGATGGAGTGGTGGGAGGAGTGGAGGAGGTTAGTTGTTAGGTGAGGTCTGGTGTTAGGTGAGGTTGGGGTAGGCTTCCCTGAAGAGGAAGGTTTTCAGGGTGCGCCTGAAGGTGAGGAGGGTAGGTGAGAGTCTGATGGATTGGGGTAGGGAGTTCCAGAGGATGGGGGAAGTCCTGGAGAAGTCCTTCAATCGGGCGTGGGAGGAGGAGACCAGGGAGCTAGAAAGTAGGAGGTCCTGTGAGGAGCGGAGGGCACGGGTAGGGTAGTATTTGGGTATCAGGTCAGTTATGTAGTTCGGGGCAGCATTGTGAATGGTTTTGTAGATCAGAGTTAGCAGAGGGGGGAGGCAGATGTGAAGCGGTTGGTGAGGTGGATGAGTCTAGCCGCTGAGTTTAGGATCGACTGGAGTGGGGATAGCTTTCGTTTGGGTAGGCCAGTGAGAAGGGAGTTGCAGTAGTCCAGGCGTGAGATGATGAGGGAGTGTACGAGTTGTTTAGTAGTGTCTGGGGTGAGGAATGTACGTATCTTGGAGATGTTGCAGAGGTGGAGCCTGCAAGATCTAGATAGCATTTGGATATGGGGTAGGAAGGAGAGGTGGGAGTCCAGGGTGACACCCAGGACTTTGGCGTGTGGGGTGGGAGAGATGGTGGCGTTGTTGGTAGTGATGGAGAGGATGGGGGGGTGGGGGGGAAGACCAGGAGCTCGGTTTTGGATAGGTTAAGTTTGAGGAAATGGAGCGACATCCAGTCTGATATGTCGTTTAGGAGGTGGGCGATGCGGGCAGAGATTGAGGGGGTGAGGTGGGGGGTGAAGAGGTAAATTTGGGTGTCGTCGGCATGAACATCCAAGCCATCCAAAGCAGTGTGCCCGAGCTGACATGGAGGAGAAACTATTAGTAAAAAAAACAGTTCTCCTCCCCGTCGGAGATCATCGGAAATCACCGGGCTCCAGCGAGTAATCACCGACCGGGACCATGTGATTGACAGCTGCGGTCGTGAATGGTGGCGTGCTTCCCCTACCCGGAAATACAAAATCAGGTATATATACGTGATTTTCCTCACCCGTGCCGCCCTGTAGCAGTTAAAGCACAATTAAGCTCTCCCAATCAACATTAACTATTTTTATTCCTTAAGCTGCTAGCATTAGTAAATACACAGGAAGGTATAGTATATTTACTTGTTTTAAACTTTAGTTGCTTCCTGGTTTCCTAGGCCAAAATGATGTCATACATCCCAAGAGTCTTCATGGGTATAAGGGCACATGGATTCCGGGAAGGAAATGTTACATGAATCATCTGTCTCACTTTAATGCCCACAGTCCACACAAATTTGTCCATGGGCGACCGAGGTTTGTGTGCTGCCAGCACACTCCTAGCACATTGACCGAGCTGTAACAGACAGCTCCCGGTCTCTGGTTATAATTGAGACCTAGCGGTATATGCTCCTGATCATGTGACCACTATGACAGCCAATCACAGTGATCATGTCATTGGGAAATCTGTCCCACCCCTGATGTAATGACCCGGTTAAAGGGCCACCAGAAACTGGGAGGAAAGGGGTCAACAAGAAACAACAAAAAACATGACAGGGGTTTGGACCATTGCCTACTCTGTCCAAAGCTAAAACAAAAAGTGTTGCCTACAGATACACCTTAACTATGACGATTAACGTGTAAGAGTTATATGTACAGAAAATAAATACACTTTATGAGCTAAACCAGTAAAGTCCTTCTAATTCAGCCCACGAAATGTATGTTGACACAAAAGGTCTTCAGATGTCACCTGCTGGGGTAGAACATGAAGACTGGATAATACAGGTAGAGGTGTTGTATATATCAGTATAAAAAACAATAATAATGATCGTATAATGTCAGAAGAGATGTTGCATTTATTCAGCAACAGAATAAAACCGGAGTCCTCAGCTGAGGCACACACTAGGGAGAATTCACCGACTGGCAGCAGCAGAGTCGCCTGTGACCTCATCTTCGTAAGAATAGTTTCCGGAATCGCGACCTTTAGCACCTGAATTGTTTTTATCTCTTGTGGCCTCAGCATCCAACGGACTGTTCTGAATAATATAGCACTTGTCAGTTGTCTCTTCTTCATTGAGCAAAAAGAAGTTTTTAATGTAGTTCTGAGGCAAATCTGGCAGACCCTATAAAAGGGAAAAGAACAGAACATCAAACTATTGTCTTAGAGGGATAGCGGGCCAGTTCACACCTTTGCATGCATTCTAGCATGTGTTTTTATGAGGTGCGGTGTGTTAAGGCTCAATGCATAAAGGTAGCCTGTTCATTTTGAATGGGCTGTCAACAAATCTGCACTACATTGGACAACACTCCACAATATACAGAGTATGGACATCTACTGTATGTATAAACTCTTCCACGCAGATGGATATAATTGTGAGAAAATTATATACTCAAAACTGTGAACCAATAACTTATTCTTCTACCAGAAACTAGCAGGTATAAATAAATATAAGCCCCTAAGTGATAACAAAATGATTACAGCACTGATTAAATAAAATTAAATATTCAAGGGGGATAAATTCAGAACAGACGAAACATGTAGGGACGGAGCCTGACACTGGGAGCTCTGAAATCTATCCACTGAATGGGGAGAGGACAGCAGTGGAGGTGAAGACTTAAAGTGGAACTATAGGCAATTGTTTTTTCATTTTGGATAGAGTAAGCGAGGGTTATAACCCCAGTCAAATTTTTTTTTTTTTTGTCATCTGTGTCCCATTGCAGAGATTTCCCTTCAGTTCCTGTCCCATAGCCAAAAAGGAAACGAGAGGAAATCCCTGAAAATTGAGGGAATTCCTTGGGGACCCCCAGGTCAACAGAACTAGTGTCGCCATTGAAAGATTTCCTCTCGATTACTTTTTTGGGGACAACCCAAAATTTAGGATATTCTTTCACTTTCACTAATAATGGTAAACAGGACAAATGGGGACACAGACAGCAATAAAACCTGACAGGCGATCTAATCCCTCCCCACTCTTATCCAAAACTTAAAAAAAGTTTTGCCTTTTGGTATACTTTAAAGTGGACTGCGCCTGTTAGGAAGATCTTTGGCGTTAATACAAGCTGTGTTTGCCTAATCTTGTAGTGGGACAGGAACGCACGTCTGGTAAGTGTGTTTTCCCATATTAGTAGTAGTGGTCACTTTGGAACACCGGTAAGAATATTGGTGATGGAAATTGTTTTACTCATTACACCGTTGGATTGCTTTATCGGAACTTATTTAGTTTACAACTAGTTTGAAACAAAACATGAAAATGTTTTTTAATGAAAAGACTTTATTGTATCATGATATTTATTGAATGATTTATTGTGCATGCATTTTCAAACTGAAGAATATTTTATATTATTGAATCAGCCCTGTAATTATTATATAGTTCACCTACTCTGTCGTGGTGTGCGATCTATACAGGGACAGACTGCGTCCAGAACTGTGCATCCCCCCGTATGGATGTAAATTCTCAGATGTGTGGGAAAAGCTATGCAGCCACTGTGTCTGTCGACTTGTCATTGATTTTTAACAGGCTGCTGACCACAACTCTACAGAACTCCTATGCCTGCCAGGTGCATAAACACAGCCCGTCTGCATGCTATACAGGCTCCTGCACCAGTGAGAATGACCCCTGAAAATAACCTGTAACAATGCTGGGGCTGCCAAGATATAAGGGAGGACTGTGAACCTTTGGACCCATGGGAACTGCAACCAAGTGGCCCTTTCATGGTAGAAGCAAATTTCTGTGGGCTAAAGAACGTGTACCATGCAAAGTGTGCTACAGTGAGTGGTAGGCATAGGGAAAGGTAAGTAATACTAAAGGATACGGCTTGTTGTGGTACACCAGTACACACCTTCCAGCTCAAATTTCCTTTGCATCTCTCAGCATTTAATCACATGACATCTCAAAGCTCCAAAAAAAAAATAGTTGATGCTTGGATCACAGGTGTGGACAGGCAGCAAGTTGCTATAGAATGCTCGCCATGTGTCACTGACTGAAGGTCCCATTCTTGTTGATGTCTAAATGGGGAGGTATCTGCAATGAGGGCCACCAGACCAATGCCCTCTGCCCTCCAGTCCTCCCCTACTCCTAAACCCGACACCCAGAATAATTTATTTCAAAAGACCTCCTGCGCTTACATGGAATCCTACCCTTAGAAAAAAGCTGCTGACACTAAACTTATACCCAAAATAAGTGAATGATCAATTAAAATAAACAGTGCAGCGCTAATAAATAATATATATATATATATATATATATATATATATATATAAATACCCAGTGAAGAGGTGATACAATAAACACACTCAATATACACCCCCTAAGAGTATATATCCAAAATAATCAATGAATATATAATAGTGTCATGATGAAGTCTGATGAAGTCACGTGCTGAGCGTGACGCAACGCGTCGGTACGTGGGGAGGAGCTTCCGTTAACGCGGTGATGTCATTTCCGGCGTGGGGGCCATATTGGATCACCCTGTTGTATTACCCATGCAGTACACCCATAGCATGTGGTAGGAAGCTGGATTAAATCGTTATTAATGTGAGTGGAACTCTATTTTTTATTTGTCTATCGCTTAATAAAACTGGTTGCACTATGGAGGGTCTCTGTTTGTGTTTCATTATGACCCTGGGAGGAGCTGGCTGCTAGTCTGGTGGATGCTGGAGGTGGAAGGCGAAACCCAGAGAGGAATCCATTCTGATAGGATCGTTTGATCCTTAAAGCGTGCTGGCCCTGTGGGGTCTAAGTAAGGAGGTGAGGGGGCATTTTGGTCGTTAAAGGATTGGCACGTGTGAATCACGCACACTGCACATTACTTTTGCATGAAGAGTGGAGTGGGAAGACCACCACAAAGCATTGCATTATTATTATCAATTGTTTGGACTTTTCTTGCAACTGAATATTGGTTCACCTATTTTGAGCACTGTACATTTTTTGCCACTATATTGTTTTATGAGTATATTTGTCACTTATTGCACTAGATATTCCCTACGAGGGAATACACGCATGACACTATTATATATTCATTGATTATTTTGGATATATACTCTTAGGGGGTGTATATTGAGTGTGTTTATTGTATCACCTATTCACTGGTTATTTATATATATATATATATATATATATATATATATATATATATATATATTATTTATTAGCGCTGCACTGTTTATTTTAATTGATCACCCAGAATAATTTGTTGTCTGCATCACTCAGTCTTATGGCAGTCTGTCTTTGGAAAGCACACTTCCCCACTAGTACCATTAATATAAAATGTCCTCTTTGAATTCTGCCACAAATGTATGGGAGCCCCATAAAGTTTACAGAATTTTTACAGAGTGGGAGCATGCATGTACCAAGCCATATCAGTTCACACCCACTGGTTAGCCACCCTGTAGTAGGATCAGAATGCCGAGTGCCCAATTTTATCCACAATGTAAATGAACCCTAAAGGTGTGAGCTCTTGAGTGGTCATCCTTATCCTTACCTGACCACCTGGTGACTCACTGACTGAACAAGTATGCAGCTTGTAATGGAAGAGCCAACCTTCATACATTTTTCCAGATAAGTGAGTCATTAAGAGTTGAAGCAGGGATGAGGATGACAGATTTGGAGCTGGTATCTTTAACAAAAAACAACAACTATCCTGGTAGGATCCCTTTAAATAGAAGGTGCTGAAATTGTTAATTTTCCACAACTGTTTTCTTGACAAAGGCATAAAAAAGTTGAAGGAATATTCACATTGTAACAGATTGCTTGTAACGGGTTATACCCAAGAGAAAGAGTAGGAGATACAAGACTGCCTTCAGGTAAGCGTGCTTTCATTTCATCCACTGTTATACTGTATATATCCATGGTTTGGAACTCAGTTTACAGTATAGTTGAGAACCCTAGTTATCAGAGGTGCCTTGACCTGGCAGTGTGGCTTTACAATTATTTGCAAATATGTGCAAGGACAATGCCTGTTTTAGGCTGAGGTAGAGATTGTGATGTCATCTGCCTGTCTGTTCAACTCAGCCAATCAAAGCAAGCCTTGTATTCATTCATAAAATACAAGGTTTCCTCTGAATGGCTGAGAAGCCCTGAACCTGACTCTATTTTGTTCCGGGAGCAGGAAGGGAGGTTCATGTTCTGCTGCCAGAACACAGCGCTGGATACTGTATGCATCTGATACCACAAACAGGTACATACATCACACACAACATGTGCTAGTAAAAGAAATTACCAGCCTGGCCCAAATTAGCTATTTAAGGTTCACTAAAACCTGGAGTTAGCTCGGTTCACACTATGCGGGGTGGTTTGCAGATGGGGGGAATCTCACTTGTTCCCGCAGCCACTTGCAGCTAAAACATTCTGCTTTTTACAGGTGAGCAGGGCTACTATACATTCCTTATGGCACCCCCCAGGCATCTAAAAACACTGTGTGTTTTCGGGAACTGCAGGGAAATCGCATTGTGCAAAAGCGGTTTAAAAATGGTGCAGGAACCTTTTTCCTCCATGAAACGTAGGCACAGAAGCCCAGAATGCACAGAATGGCCTGCCAAGCCTGAGCAAACGCGGCGTGCAGAACCGCAATAGTGAACCTTATGTTTTCAGGCTCCTTGCCTCTGAATGAAACTCTGTATGGCCTCTCCAAACAGAGAAGACAGAAGGAGGAGTGGTGAATCACTCCTCTAACTCAAGCTATGTGAGGAAATTTTTGATTGAGCTATTGACCACTGTAAACATAAGGCTATAAAAGGAAAAAATGTTTCATATTTACCTAAAAATAAAAAGTCTGAGGTCTCGGGGAACCCCTGAAAAAAACTTTCAGATCTACAGCTCACGGAACATTAGATCTGATCAGCGAGCTGTAGATATAACAACAATTAACAAACAAATGCAGAGAAGCTGTTGTAACATGCCTTTTCTCCTTGATCCTCACTAGCCCTCCTCTCCTCCATCCCAGGTGATATTACAATTAACAGCCTGAGACAGACAGACAGACAGAAAGAACAGGAGGACCTGTGGGGAAAAGTTCAGTAAAGAACAGTTCCCTGCACAGCTCTGCAAATCCATAACACAGGGTTTCTCACATGGAGTTCCACTGCAGATCCATATTGTGGCAGACGTATATTCACCCAATTTTGTTTTTAATACGCACTGACAGTTCGCATTGATACCCGATGCCTCCTCTGTAGTTGTGGTCCTTGTGAACTCAGAGGGTGACATCGAGTGCAGTGTAGAGAATGGGAACATGTGGCTTGATCAGGAGAAGACATCTTGTGTATGGCATCAGTGAATGCAGACTGTGGATGGGGGAAGCAGAGAGTAGGAAAACATGGAATAATGTAGCAGGGGGTGACATCCAGTGTATGGCAGTGCTGAATGAAGACTGCAGGGGCGCATAGCTGGGTGAGACTGAGCCTGGGTTCACACTTATGCGGCGCAGCATATCGCATGTGATTCGTACAGGTACCACACTGCATTCCTGTGCAAATCACATGCAAATTCTGTGCGGTGTGATTTGAGCCATACATTTTTTACCGCATCTGCACCAAAAAGGTGCAGGACCCTTTTTTGGTCTGCACTAGAATCAGATCAGACAGACTCTGCACATCACACCGTGTTTTGCGGACCTATTTTGGGGTGTTGTTTATTTAACATACACACCCGCAGCGGTTCAAATGAACAGGGTGTGATTGTGATGCAGTGTGGAATTCGCACAGAAACTGCTGAGAACTCTGCACCGCATCAGTGTGAACCTGGACACAATGTAGTAGTAGGTGACATCATAATAGCTTTATGTACAGTTATGGCAAAACATAGAACTAATATGATCTCACGTCCTGCTACATTCAGTCTCTTCCAACTATGCGCTCCCCCTCTCTGCAGTCTGCATCACTGCCGCCAAACATTGGATGTCACCTCCTGTTTTAGCCATGTGCTCCTTCTCTGTGATCAACCTCCAGTCTGTATTGACTGCTGCCCTACACACACACAGTGCTCTGTCCCTCTGCCCCCCTCTGTACCCCCGTCCCGGCAATCTGCCTGCACCGCTACACAGAGTCAAGAGATCTCAGCTAGTGTTCCAGTCACAGGCGCACGCTTTGTGTTCCCTCCCACCGTCTTGTGATCAGCGCTGCCTTAGAAAGTGACAGCTCCCAGTCTGTGCAGTACTCCCTGCACCTCCCTCTGAGTTCACAGGAGCTGGAACTAAACAGGACGCATTGGGTATCAATGAGCGCTGACAGTACTGACTGTCAACAGGTATTAACACTACTACTGCAAACAACATTGGGTGGTATACATCCATGCTGATTTGCGGCGGAACCCCTGGGGACCTCTCGGAACCCCGGTTGAGAAACACTGATAAATATACACACACATATAGATTTCTTCTTTTTTTTTTAAGTTATGGCTATAATATAGGAAGGAAAAAAAAAAAAATCTAGAAATTACTACCCATTCCCTATAAATCAGTATACAGTTACTTCATCTATTTTCCCTTTACCTTCTCGATGCTTGATGGCAGCTTGCTTTTAGGGAAGAATACATGCTTCAAGTACCGCTTCAAAGGGCAGAGACAGATGTAGAGAATGACTGCGATCACAATTATTGCCCCAAAAACCGACCCTATGATCCACTCTGTCATGTAAGACCGAGGATCTAAAAATAAAAGAAGACACACTATAGTCAGCTGAGTAGAATTATCAGTGAAGTATCATCTAAAGAGCAATTGTAGTGCTGAAAAACATATTCTTTCTTTAACCACTTCAATACCGGGCACTTTCACCCCCTTTCTGCCCACGCCAATTTTCAGCTTTCAGCGCTGTCGCATTTTAAATGACAATAGCGCGGTCATGCAAAACTGTACCCATATGAAATTGTTATAATTTTTTTTAGATAGATAGAGCTTTCTTTCGGCGGTATTTAATCACCATTGGGTTTTAAATTTTTTGCTAAACAAATGAAAAAAGACCAAAAATTTTTTAAAAGAAAATCTTTTTCTAAGTTTCTGTTATAAAACTTTGCAAATAAGTATTTTTCTTCTTCACTGATGTGCGCTGATGAGGCTGCACTGATGGGCACTGATAAGCGCTGTCAGGATTGCCGGTTATTCACAATCCTTTTTTCAGTGACATTGCTGAGGAAAGGCATAGCTGATATCCAGCATTCTGTTTACATGTGATTTATTATTTATTCATTTATTTCAGGTACTTATATAGCGCTGTCAATTTACGCAGCGCATTATATATATATATTATGAACATTCACATCAGTTCCTAACCCTCAAGGGGTGTACAATCTAAGGTCTCTAACCTACATTCATACATACACATACTAGGGACAATTTAGACAGGATCCAATTCACCTACCAGCATGTCTTTGGAGAGTGGGAGGAAACCAGAGTACCCGGAGGAAACCCACGCAGGCACAGGGAGAACATGCAAACTCCAGGCAGGTGGTGCCGTGGTTGGGATTTGAACCAACGACCCTAGTACTGCCAGGCAGAAGTGCTAACCATTTAGCCACTGTGCTGCCCATGCCCACAGTTGATCACATGGTAAAGGACCGCAGTAATTGGCCCTTTAGAGATGTCTGTGATCAGCTGTGTACAAAGGAGTCTTTCAGCTATAGCTCGGTAATGAGGAGGTTAAAGAAGTGAGTTTGTTTTATTTACTGGATGGGTGGGTGATGTAAACCACTTTTTTTGCATTTTTTGCTAGAAATTTCTTTAAACCTTCAAATAATTATTTATTTTTCTGAAAGCAGAGTCCCTGTAGAATAAATGGTGGCAGTTGCAAATTTTGTCACACAATGTTTGCACAAGGGTTTATCAAATGCATATTTTCAGGAAAAATGCATTAAATTTTAGTGCACACAAAACACAACATAAACCTAATTTCTTGCTAAAGTATAAAATATGGCGTGGTGTTAAGTAGATAGATACAAAACATTTCAAGTCATAAAGCTACTTTTAATTTTTTTACTATACGATTTATTTTTCTCTCTTTTTTTTCCATTGTAGCTTTTTTTCTATCATAAGGGGCCAACAAGCCCCCTCTATAATAGTGTGAGCAGGTGACAGGTACTCTTTATGGAGATATCACAGGTCTATTAGATCCCCAATATCTCCCCTTCCCTCTAAAGCAATTAATCAGAGACTGTCCTTGATTAGCTGCTTTCCTGGCTACATCAGCTAGGGAATGATGAACCTGGAAGTGATGCAATACATGTGCTTCCAGTGTATTTACTCACAGGAATGATTGGGGGGGGGTGTCAGGTTCCCTCTAACCTTAAGTGAAGAGCCGCACACTTCACTTTTACTTGAAAGCTGATTGCTAGTTGAAAAAAATCAGAACCAAGCTCACAGCTGCAGCAGCAGCCATGAACATGTTTTAACCCCTTGAATACCAGGACATTTATAAACATACCTTGGAAGACAGGGGTTAAGCCATGCCCCCTGCACTGAGTAAACACCACTAATTTGCAAGCTAAACTAAACTAATTAGCTTTGTTAAGCTCTTTCCCATATGATTAAGTCTATGGAGTAGGGCAGTGTATGGAAGCCATTGTTTCTCTGGAGGAAGGTAGTATTTGAAAACCATGGCTTCTATGGAGTAGGGCAGTGTATGAAAACCATGGCTTCTATGGAGTAGGGCAGTGTATGGAAACCATGGCTTCTATGAAATAGGTTAGTGTATGAAAACCATGACTTCTATGGAGTAGGGCAATGTATGGAAAGCATGGCTTCTATAGAGTAGGGCAATGTATGGAAAGCATGGCTTCTATAGAGTAGGGCAGTGTATGGAAAGCATGGCTTCTATAGAGTAGGGCAGTATATGAAAACCATGGCTTCTATGGAGTAGGGCAGTGTATGGAAACCATGGCTTGTATGGAGTAGGGAAACTATAGAAACCATGGCTTCTATGGAGTAGGGCAATGTATGGAAACCATGGCTTCTATGGAATAGGTTAGTGTATGAAAACCATGACTTCTATGGAGTAGGGCAATGTATGAAAACCATGGTTTCTATGGACTAGGGCAGTGTATGAAAACCATGGTTCCTATGGACTAGGGCAGTGTATGGAAACCATGGCTTGTATGGAGTAGGGCATTGTATGGAAACCATGGCTTCTATGGAGTAGGGGCATTGTATGGAAACCATGGCTTGTATGAAGTAGGGCAGTGTATGGAAACCATGGCTTCTATGGAGTAGGACAGTATATGAAAACCATGGCTTCTATGGAGTAGAGCAGTGTATATGAAAACAATGTCTTCTATGGAGTAGGATATTGTATGGGAACCATGTCTTCTATGGAGTAGGATATTGTATGGAAACCAGTTCTTCTATGGAGTAGGGCAGTGCATGGAAACCAGGGCTCCTATGGAGTAGGGCTTTGGATCCAACAGGAAAGTATATCCATATAGGTCAGGGGTGCTCAACCCTTGGCACGAGGGCCACATGTAGCCCACAGAGCCCTCTGATGTGGCCCTCAACCTCATGCTCTGGGATGGTGGGTCGAAAAGCACAGATCACGATCAATGGGTACCATCCTAGAACATCAGATTTTATGGAGCTGGCAGCAGAGTAAGCAGGAGCAGCATAAACTGATGCTTCCTCTGTGGCACTGGCTCCTGTCCCAGGCGGAGTGATACCAAGTGCGCTCTGCCTAGGACCTTTCTAGCAGCCTGGGTTAGTAGGTTGCTTTCACAATGATCTGCAGATGCAGTGCAGTGCACCTACAACTTTCCTACAGGTTAGCTGCACTGAGCCATAGACTTCTATTATATCCTATGGGATTGGTGCACTTTCAGAAGACCACCCCTGATGTAGGTCATAGTGAGAATGGACTAAAACAATCAAAAAGCCCCCCATCCAAATCAAGATGTAGCATTTTTAAACACTTGGCAACCGTGCTATACTCGAATGATGGCTACAGCGCAGTTGTCCAGTTCTGGAAGGGCGTCATAGGCCGTCCTCCCAGAAGGCGCCCTCTTGTGTGCACCCAGCGATCTCCATGATGTGTCCTACGGACACAGCTGATCATGTTATCTGGTAAAAGGCCAATCAGAGCAGAATCTTACCACATGATCAGCTGTGTCCAATGACAAGCCAGATCATAGCAGATCACCGGGTAAATACAGTTGATGGTTACTGGCTACACTGATTATCATATTTGTTTAATGGTTTTAGACACAACTGAAAATGTTATACCCTATGAAAATCAACTATTTTTTTTTTAGATGTTTTTATACATACATAAATATAATCATCATAGTATAAATGCACACTGTATATCAATCAATGATAACAAGCAAAAAATTGTTTTTTTTAAATTATAAACATGTCATACCTGTTCTGTGTAGTGGTTTTGCACAGGACAGCCCGGATCCTCCTCTTCTCAGGTCCCCCGCCGGCACTCCTGGCCCCTCCCTCCTGCATAGTGCCCCTGTAGCGAGCAGCTTGCTATGGGGGCACCCAAGCATACTTGCTCCCGAGCCACTGCCCTGCATGTCCATTCACATGCAGAGCCGCGGCTTGGCCCCACCTCCTCTCTCTCCTCATTGGCTCACTGGTGTTAACAGCAGCGGGAGCCAATTAGGAGGGAAGAGTCCCCAGAGAGCAGAGGCTCTCGTGCACGTCGTTGGATCGCGATGGGGCTCAGGTAAGTGTTAGAGGGGCCTGCTCACAGGTTTTTTAACTTCATGCATAGAATGCATGAAGGTAAACAACCTTGAGCCGTTAAAACCACTTTAAGATGTTTTCAGTATGGCAATGAGAAACTATAAAAAATTACATACAAAATTCCTTACAGTACATTTCCCATTGTTCTGAAATTGCATGTACTTACTGTATGTCTGACCATACTCTAACACTCCTTATATAAGTAATCCTTAAGGCCTTATGCACATGGGCAGTTTTTGACTTTCAATGTAAATACCGGGCGTATTGTTTGCACACGGGAGGGACAGCTGCAGTGTACAACAACCCATAGTAATAAATGGCTGTATGCTAGCTGTACATGGGTATAATGTGTATTTGAATAGACGTGTGTATAAATCCTGGAACATGGCTTCTGTGCATTCTGGGATTTACACCCATGCGGGCCATTAATATCAGAAACCTCAACCCGCCTATGTGCATGAGGCCTAACATGCAAACAATACAGGTTTTGGCCATTTTACTGCATCTACAGTAGAACATGGAATGACAACTCTTTTTTTAGAGGTGTTACTTACATGTACCATGCACTAAAGCTGTAATATAGAGGCATTTAGTTACACACACTCAAACAAGCACACACTTATGAACTGATGTGGATATGTACCAGTAGTAATGCAGTAACTCTCGCTATAAAGCCCAACTCTGCCATCACATTGTGTATTTGCTTTTGCACAATAGGTTGTAGAGGCTTCCACAGCTTTTATCGTAAAGTGAGGTACTTTATCTTTCATAGTGATAACCTGCAAAAGAAAAAAGAAAAAGTGTCACATCACATCTAAACATTCCAATCTAATCACTCAACATTAAATCAGAACTACACTACATGCCAAAAAATGCTATTTAGTTCATTTCTAATATTCAAAACAAACTCCCCCATCCATCCATGTCTCCATGCTTTATTTTGCTGAGAAATCACTTTGAAAAAATAAAAGGTGTTCTGCCCCACCACCTCAACACAGCCAGGCGTCTAATTCCAGTATACTGGAAGAAACCTCAGGTTCCTAGAGTAAGGCTGGTTAATATAATGGAGGCTCAGGAACGGATGGCCAAATGCAAAGACAAATGCGAACAAATCTATTCCATTTGGGCAGTTTGGATTCATTACAGCTTGGGGAAACTGGGGCCCTAACTCCCCCTGCCTTCTCCCCCCTCCACCACTGGGTGCCACTCTGCCAGAGCTTGTTAGGTGACCAGCTATGGGTACTCCCATCCACTTGCTATTTGTTACCTGCACCCAAGACTAGTTCTCATAAGGCTGGATCCGAATCTGCTTCTTTCGATCTGTTTTTTTTTTCATGCCTTACATGATTATTTGACTATGCTTATTCACTCATTTGGCTATCCAGGCGCCTGATATACCTATACCCTATTGGGTTTATGCAGGCCATAGATGGGTCGAAAATCGGCTGATTTTTCTTTAAAAAAACGAAAAATTGGTCGTTCAAAGCGGCCGACGTTACCAGGAAAGGTAAAAAAAAAAAAAAAAAAAACGGCCGATTTTCATCCCGTCTACAGCCGGCAAAAAGTGTCCCTGCAGAGAGCTCTGCTATTTCTTTGACAGTTCTTTGACATTTATAGCGGTTGCAACAATGTATCTATTTGTATCCATTTAGGATACAGATGTTTTTATTCAGAAACAAAGATACATTGTTGCAACCACTATAAATGTCAAGGAACTGTCGAAGAAATAGCAGAGCTCTCTGCAGGGACACTTTTTGCCGGACTGGAATTCTTCTTCTTCATCCTCTTCTTCGTCCTCTTCCTCCTCTTCCTCTTCTTCCTCTTCTTCTTCTTCTTCTTCTTCTTCTTCCTCTTCCTCTTCCTCTTCTTCCTCTTCCTCTTCCTCTTCTTCCTCTTCCTCTTCTTCCTCTTCTTCGTCAGTATTGCTTGAGAGAGTGAAGTCACTATGGAATTCATTTCCTGTATTCTGCAATAAAAAAAAAAAAAAAAACCTTGGGGATCCTGCCGTTCACTCTCCCTCCCTCCTTGACTGTGTCTCCACTGCAGCCTGAGACTGGGTAGACCAGCCATTCTCAGAACTACTGAGCATGCTCCAGTTTCTTTTCCCTTCTAGGATGTTCATGTCCTCCTTTTTCTTATCTGTGCAGCCCATATGACTATAGAGTCACACATGTGGGCACATACACTCCCACCTTACTCCACTATGCCTAATAAACAGCTAAACACAATGAGGTGGGATATTAAGTGTTGATTGATGGAGCAGTCACCTCTCTAATTCTACTCACATACAAACAATAGACACAAGCTGAAGGGGGGTGTGAAACAGGCTGTGATAGGCAGAACCTTCCCCTAGATAGCTAACATCATAAAGATTTGAGTTCAAATACATATTAAAATGTGTATTTGATATTTTGTATTTTTCATTTGTATTTTGAAGGCTGTTTTTTCTTGAACATGTGACCAACAGCAAAGAACTAGAAACTCCTCCCACTGATGTTTCCCTGTAGATGGGCTGGGAAAGAACTGGGTCACATGACAGTTGTATATCTGTCAGGGCAGGAGCCGAGGAACGGACAGGCAGGCCTAACAATGTAACGCACTGGCTGACGACAACCACCACCCACAGACTGAAGTCCCTCAGGGCGCGGAGTCTAAGTCCCAGGCTGCCCTTCACCAGGGCCCCTGATGGTGGGGATGGACTTGACGCAGCCAGGAACCAGGTCGCGGCCCCCGAGACACCTCAGCTGCGGTAATGGCCGCCGCCAATGGCGTGTAGCTGGTGGAAGAAACAAAAGAGTAGTCAGACAGGCCGGGGTCAACAACAACAGGACAAAACAGTACAGGACAGCAGACGAGAATCACAGGTCACGAGCCGGGTTCAGCAACAGAGGGTCAGATCAAAAGGAGAATACAAAGAATAGTCAAGTCACAAGCCGAATCAGAATACCAGGAGAGTCACGAGAGTCAGAACAGAGTAATAGTAACACAAAGACACAAGACACAAGTGCAAAGAGCATGTGCGGGCCACAGGCTTATATGTCATCAGCCAAGCCCCTCTGGGGGGTGGACCTCAGAGACCTGAAGGCATAAAAAGGATTCCCATCATGCACAGCAGAATCCAAGATGGACGCCAGCACATGGAGTAACATAACCTCAGGGAAAAGGTAGGACCTTGACAATATCATGAAAAGAGGTACTTTGATTTTTTTTTTTTTTAAATTAAAATAAATACAGTGCCGACATCCATATACATAAAGAGAAGAGATGATGTAAATGAAAATGTGTGCGTCTGCTAAGAATATTCAAGCATGTACATAAAAGAGGTGCAAAACAAACTCTCCTTGACTTCTGTAGCTGCGAGCATTCTGGTGTAATTCAGTGTCAAAGTTGACAATAGAAGGCACCAAAGGCAGCTTTAAGGTCCATTCACACCAACAGCAGTGCTGAACACACAGCTGCAAGTGTGCGCTGGGAGGACATAGTGATAAAGTGTTGATCCAAGCTCATTGCACGGTTTACTTTTTATTTTTAGAACTTTATTGAAGTGTCACAAGTGACATTTAATTCATTTCTATTCATACAGTGGTGTTGGAATGTGGTGTTTCCACCACACTGAAAAAGTAAGTACTGCACACAGTGGTGTGAACTGGCACCAAAGGAAACATGGCAAATTGCAAAAAAAAAAATTTTTTTTTGTATTGAGACTGAGCTGGACAACACTGCCCAGTGCATCCCAATGCAAATGTTGTAAATGAGCCCTTAGTGGGGTTTTCTCAGTCCTGCTCCATCTGTGAGGCTGCCAAATCACTGCTGGGAGTAGGGTGAGCTACTAAGACATTAACTAGAACTGAGCTGCAGGACTTCTCTGAGAACATTGATGAATTGTTCCATACTGTTGCAGCTAGAGAGGTCAGCACGGGTACGTAAAAGGCATATACTGCTGCTTGTAAAAAATATTTAAAGCTGAACTTCAGGCGGATATAGAAATAAAAAAAATTATTGTAACTCTGTATTCATTAATACATCATTAAAGTGTTATGGAATCCTCATGGGAAAAATATAGTAACAAGCCTCATAACAATCTTAGTCTGTTGGCCACTTTTCTCATTCAGCCTGTCATTTAAATAATTAGCCATCAGAAGTTCAGTAAACCTCAATTCCTCCTTTCCGGTGGCTCCATCGCCATGCAGGGTCTACTTGGAGCCACTCTGGAGAGAATGCTCCCAACCAGGGATATGCTGAAACAGTACAAAAGCCCTAAATCCCAATCCACTCCTCTGCTCCTTCTGAATGACAGGAGCTCCACTCTCTGAAATCTCTATAAACAAGGCATGGCTTTGTGAGGCAATAAGATGCAGGAAGCCACACAATGGGGTTGATTTCCTAAAAGCAAATAGACTGTGCACTTTGCAAGTACATTTTCTTTGAAGCTTACTAAATGATTTCCATCATCCAATCATGTGTAAGCAAAAATGCAGTTTTTTTTTCTCTTGCATGTGATTTGGTATTCTTTGCAAAGTGAAGCTTCACCTAATTTACTAAGCTCTGTGGCAAATGCCCTTTCAGAATGCAACTGCACTTGTAAAGTGCACAGTCTTTTTACCTTTAGTAAATTAACCCCAATGTGTGCTTCTCGAGTGGAAGTTTGGGGACGTGCCGTAGAAAGCAACACAAGAAACAGAACTTTCATAAAAGCACAACAGATTAAAATGTCTTTATACTATTAGTTGCATGGAGCTTAACAGAAGGAGGAATGTTACATTGAGGGTTTAATACTACTTTGAGGGCTCACTTACACCGCCTTCTGAAAAGCAATCCAATCCACAGTAAATTGCTCTTCAGAGAGCATTTGACAGGTGGTGAGGAGGTGCTATGCCACTTCTTCCTTGTCTGTTTTGACACATATAAACTTGCACCACTGTGCTGCAACTGTGTGCAGTGCACCCCCCCATTCACCTGAAAGGGTCACGTTCAGTTTGTAGTATTGTCTGGTGAGCGAATTTTGTAATGTGTGCCCAAAGATTGTGCAGAATTCTAAGGGGTGCCCCAAGATTGTGCAGAATTCTAAGGGGTGCCCCAAGATTGTGCAGAATTCTAAGGGGTGCCCCAAGATTGTGCAGAATTCTAAGGGGTGCCCCAAGATTGTGCAGAATTCTAAGGGGTGCCCCAAGATTGTGCAGAATTCTAAGGGGTGCCCCAAGATTGTGCAGAATTCTAAGGGGTGCCCCAAGATTGTGCAGAATTCTAAGGGGTGCCCCAAGATTGTGCAGAATTCTAAGGGGTGCCCCAAGATTGTGCAGAATTTTAAGGGGTGCCCCAAGATTGTGCAGAATTTTAAAGGGTGCCCCAAGATTGTGAAGAATTTTAAAGGGTGCCCCAAGATTGTGAAGAATTTTAAAGGGTGCCCCAAGATTGTGCAGAATTCTAAGGGGTGCCACAAGATTGTGAGGAATTTTAAAGGGTGCCCCAAGATTGTGCAGAATTTGAAAGCAGGCCTTAGCTGAAAAAAGACTGAGAAACACTGCACTAGGGATAAGCTCAGGTTGGGTCCAAACTTGGGTTTCAACTGAACCCGGAAGGAAGCTGTGTTTCCTACTCACTGCTGCACAATAAACTCCAGCCAGGGTATCTGTGCCCTTTGTGAACGTGCAACTGTGGGACATTATTGACCTAATATGGTCACATGGTGTTCATAATAATGACACTGACCTAATATGGCCAATATAGCCATACTAGGCTAATGATAGCCATACTTGGTTAATGATGATACGACCCTTTGGGGAAGCAAACCCCTGAATTAAAGGCTAAATTCACTTTTATGTATAAAAAAAATGCACACATTTTTTCCAGGTATAAAAACATAAATGTATTTTTTTTTTTTTTTACAAAGAAGCATGCAAATAATTGCACCTGTGATCAATGGATTGTGGGTGCAATGTCAGGCTCGTGCACACTTTCTCTCAAGCTTTCTGCCTGTACCTCTTTACGGACTACAGTTAGAAAGCTAAAGGAAGATTCAATGGACTAAGAGTACATTGATCAGCTCAACCATAGTCCAATGAGAAGTACAAACTTTCTGCTGTGGTGACAGACAGAACTTGTAGTTTCTTTTAAGAGATCTGTGAATGAATGACCCGACTGTGCAGGTGGAGCCCCATACAGCCTTGACAATTATAAAAGTGACAGAAGCTGCAAGGGAGAAGAACCAACACCTGTTGTCATGGGGGTGTTTGATCCTTAGTAACATGTTGCTAAAGGTGAATATATCCTTTAAAATGTCACTTACTTCCGCAGGTGTTGAATTTTTCCAAGTCTCCAGGTGATATACCCACATACAGTGTGCATGGAGAGCGTCATGCTTAAATCCTTCTGGTGCTTTAACGTCAATGTGTAAATTGTTGTTCTGTATAGTCAGTTTTATGTTTGTGGGGGGTCCAATCACAGCTTTAAAAAGAAGAGAATATGTCAAAGTATACAATACATAACTTTGAAAAGGTGAAATCTCTGAGTCTGTCATCTTGATTCTGTTATCAGATAATTTTCCATGTCAAGTGCATGCATGCCAAGTAATGTACAACACTTCCAAATATTTATTACCTCTCTCACAGAAATCACAGACATTCCCCCCCTGCACCATTTCCTTTACTCTCCAGAAGGATGGAGCCATCTTTGTTCAGGCATCATGCTGAGTCAGCATCTACTATCTGGACTGAGGTGTTGGCGCAGTTACACAAACATGTAAATCTTGTTGCCTGGTTGTGTTAACAAATGTCTGACACAGATGAGCTCCTGCTACTGCCTCACATTATGTGACTTGCTACAAATTTACAATGGTGCAGTCTGATCACTGCGGAGAGATAAGACTTAGGTAAGGTAACCTGAATGGAGCTCAACTAAAGGGACTGCTTTTGTGAGAAAAAAAAAAAAAAAATGAATTTTGACTTGCCTGTAAATTCCATATCTTAGAGTACAGTACATGACACAGGTGTCCCCCTATGTAGCCATAGCCCACTGTGTGTGTTTAGTAGCAAGAAATGCAGAGTACCACAAGAATAGAAGGGAGGGTGGATTGTTTCCAGTACTGGACTGCAAGATACAAACTTTAGAGGCTAGTCGAACTGCCTTTTATTTTAACCATACAGTACAGGTCACAGGCTGAATGTTCATAGAGACCCTGGGACGTCCCCATGCAATGAATGAGAAGGGTGGGCAACAGCAAGAAAACAAAAACTGTGACAACAGGCCCAACTAGAAAAGCTACAATTTCCTGGAGAAATTGTGTGAAGTGTTCTTGCCTCCACCAGTAGTCTACAACTGGAGTGGGCGGAGTAACTGGGTGGAGTGGCTTGAGTCACTCTGCTGCCTGCTCACACACACCTGGGTTCCTATGGCAACTCACTCTACAGCAAAGGCAGAGAAGTGCGGTTAAAAACAAACTGCTCCAACTTGCTCACTTCACTGGCGGTTGCCATCTTCAAAAGGCTGTAGTTTAAAAATTATACATCCTACACCGAAGAGCTTTATATTGTGAGAATCATAGGACCCAGACCTACATTTTTATGCATAGTATGTCTCTGAAATATTAAAATAAAGGCACAGTCACAGTTTAGAAATTGCCTTTCAAATTTGAGGTGGCTAGATTGGAGTTTCAATGAATGTCAATGGACGGCATGAGTTGCAAACAAATGGTCATATTGTGGAAACTATCAGGACTATGGCATTTTTAGTGGCAGTAGGGATAGCTAAACGTTTTGATATAAGATTTGTCTAGGTGGGTTTGAAAATGAGGGAGTGAAGGCAGTTTAGAAATCATGTCCTGATTTTTCAGCTCACACTCTAGCTTTTGTCAGCTCCCACTCTAGTTTTGAACATTCCGCCATTCATTCCTATGGGACCAATTTCACCACAAAAACTCCGATATTTTGTGAACCATTCGGCGAAACGTTCCACAAAGTAATAGCACACCAATCGGGAACAATCCGCACGTTTCGGTATATTACTGTCTATGTAGTATAAAACCTGTGGGAGGAGTTAGGGTGGGAAATTTGGCTATAATAATAAGAATATATATGTGAGATAACAGTAAGTGGTCTTGCCATGCAAGAACACTTAATCACAAGGGTAAAGAGACCAAACTTCATAGTTGCCGCTGAAAAAAACCTTGTGGCTGAAAGCTGCGTCTGCTGAAGACTGGTCCACCTAATAGAACTTTGAAAGGTATGAAGAGAGGACCAGGTGGTAGCTATACAAAGCTGGGCAAAACAGGCTTCATGTTGGAAAGCCCAGGAAACACCCACTGACCAGGTGGGGTGAGGGTGCAAAAGTGCAGGTGGAGTTTTGTCCTTTGGGGTGTAAGCTCTGGCAATGAGTTATCTTCTCCATCCTGCAATGGTGGATTTGGAGGAAAGATGTTCCTGTAAGGTAGTGAGGGTAGGACGATTATGGTGTCTGTCTTTCTGATAGAAGATGTTACATTGAGGTAGACTCTAATGGCTTTTACTATGTCCAGGCAGTGAAGAGCAACTTAACTTGTGTGCTTTTGAACAAGGTGCAAAGAGGGAAGGACTATGTCTTCATTGAGGTGGAAGACTGATACCATTTTAAGAAGAAACAGAAAGATGGTCTTGGGTGTAAGACTACCTTGTCCCTGTGAAGAATGAGGAATGGATCCTATCGAGAGAGTCGCTAGTTCAGAGACACTTATGACAGATGTGATAGCAACCAAGAAGGTCACTTTGCAGGAGAGATCATCTAAAGAGATATCTCTTTTGGGTTCAAAGGATGGTTTTTGCAGGACAGAGAGAACCAGACTGAGGCCCCAAGGAAAAACTTGGTGCTGTATGAGAGAGCTGATCTCAGATACACCTTAAATAAAGGTTTGACAAAGAGGAGTTAGGCCAAAGGTTTTTGAAAAAGAATGGACAAGGCTAAAACCTATCCTTTCAGGGTGATGAAGACCATTTTGTAGGAAGAGTAGAGTAGAGTATGAGGTACAGAGTAATCTATGGTATTGAAGTGCATGCGTTTACTCCGGGCAAAGATGGAAATCTAGTTATGATAATAGATCTTTTTTTGAAGTGGCTTTTCTTGCTTTTGGCAAAGTAGGACTGACAGACTCAGAGACCCGTCTGCCTCTTAAACCCTGGGCTTCAACAGCCATGGTGTCAAAGGCAGAGACTAAGAAACGGGATGGAATAGGGGGCCAGAGACAGCAGGTCTCACCTGAAGAGAAGGGGCCATGGGTCATCTCCTAGAAATCTGAGGGTACAGTTTGGTGCAATGGGAATCATCAGTTACATTTCCTGCTCTATTCTTTGGAGTAGGCGAGTCAGAATTTGCACTTAAGGTAAGGCATAGATTAGCCTGTACTGAGACCAGGGAATTCTCAAAGAATCAGATGCCAGTGCTTGAGAATCCTGGTCACAAACAGAGGTAACTTGCTGTTGACTCTGGAGGCCAGGATATCCTCGTTGGGGTCCCCCATTTCTGACATATTAGGTTAAAGATATTGAGGTGAAGGACCCATTCCCCTTGGTCCTATATATATATATATATATATATATATATATATATATATATATATATATATATCACACACGATTTAGAACGTTACTGAAAGTTTCACTTTAAGGTGTCTATGTATAAGATGCTTGTTGTGTGGGTGAATTAAGCATTTATACAGGCACCAGGTGTGTTTGCTGTATTGTTTTTAATTCAATTATTTCCTGTAATCATCAGCTCCATCTAATGACCATAATGCAATATTTATTTGTTGAAGTATTAAAAAATATACCACATTACGGACACTAAATCGAGCTGATAATCATAAGAGATATAGTATTGCAAACAATACGGCAGACATTTGTGGTGCCTGTGAGAATAGTTAAGAGATCTGCACAGCAAAACGTTCTATATGTAGATCACTAAGACTGTTCCATGGTGATACACAAAGCACAGGCACATATACCAGAGAAATGCATTAGAATTGTAGGTATGGCAACTTACTTTCTTCCCTGGGAGAAAAAGTGACCATGCTGGAATTGTGTTCATCTGTTTGGTGATTGTAAACTGAAACACGTAATTTATATCTATACAAGAAACCTAAGCTGGATACATTTGCACTGCAGCGTGGTGATATTTTCACATCCTTCCATTATACTCCAATTATTCTGAGAAGCGTAGCTTTAAAAAACAGAAGAAAATATTCTTAGTTCCACACAGACATCAAAGAGCAATAAATTGTTCATGAAACATTAGGTAACTGGAGGAAAAGCAAAAGCAATTTAAAGGGTAACTCCAATAAAAATTTATAGATGGAACTTGGTGGACTGAATCTGCACCTGGCATCTTGTATGTCTTGTTTACTCCATGGTGAGATTTCCCTGTTATAATTCCTGATTCTGTCCCTAACCACCATTGTCTGTTCCAGCTCCCTCTGTTACATTCTCCAATACATAAAAGGGTGCTGTGATGTGTTCGGGAAGCTATGTACAGCACCCTAATAGCTCCTCTCACCAGCCATGATCTTCCCACCATTGCGCAGAGAAAAACGGAGACCCAGTAATTATATCAGTAGTTCTAAAACAGGGGTGTCCAACCTTTTGACTCTCCTGGGCCCACATTGAAAAAAGAGGAATTGTCTTGGGCTGCACATAAAAAACATTAAACAATAAGAATCGCTGATGAGCAGAAAGTCAGGCAGATAATCAGATTTCAGGCTGTGTTTGTACAGTGCAGGGATGGGAGACAGCCTGGCACAGTATCGAGGGTAGAGGGGGAGGGGTTGTGGGCAGGGAGTACAACTGAAATCTGGGGTAGGGGGGCCCACCTCTGCACCCCCCTAAATCCCCTTACTTGGCTGGTGCTAGCGGGGGTCCCTGCATGTGCACCCAATGCTATTGCAAACACGGCATCCCTCCAGACATGCCTGGCCCTGCGAGAGGTGCTACGCCGAACACGGCATCCCTAGCATCCTTCCAGACGTGCCCTAGCTGCATTGGGTTGGATACCCGTGTTCTAAAATAAAAAAGCATATAAAGAAAACCGTTATATTTAAAAATGCTGTTAGGATATTGATCGGGGGAGGAGGAAAGGCAAAATAAAAGCAGATTAAATTTCAGATTTAATGGTACTAAAAATGACATATCCCTTTCAATCTGCTGCCAGCGTTGAGTATTTAAAACTGCATAAAAGTGAAATGTTTGCTGGCAAACATAGCAAAGTTGGTATTATTAGAACATCCTCCGAAATCTATTTTCCAGTTTGTGTGACTGGATAACTGCCTTTCTCAGATGTATGTACAGAGCCTGAAGCTTCAGAGGTAATCACGTCATCACTGATCACTGCATCGTTACACTCACAGTATGTCCTCAGTCTCCTGGGTTGAGTGATGTTGGGAAGACTGAGAACCTACAATGTAGACTGAAGAATATTATTGAAGACACGTACTGTGCAGACTAAGGACATCTAGATGTGGAAAGGGATCACTGCAGCAGACAGCACAGGAGGTGCGTTTTGCAGCCTGAGCTGTCATTTTTTTTATTAGCCTTCTGAAGGACCTTTTTAGAAAAAATATTGGGAGTGGGGCTTTAAGGGATTTGACATTGGTTGGGTTTGTATATACCTTTTCTGCACTGAAAATGTCACATTCGGATTCCTTTGATTGTCCCAGTCCCAATTTAGCAGGTATATCATGTTTATTCCCTTCACTCGTAAATTTTCTGGAAGTCCTGTGAATATATAAACCAATCCGGTTAGTTATATCCGAACATATTGTACTTATATTCTGCTACTGTATAGTGAAACAGACAGTCCATCAATCACCATTAAATATTTTTATCTTCATCTTTTTATAAAAAAAAGTTATGTAATTTAATTATGTGAGATGAGATTTACACTATTTATCTGCCCACTCAAATATTTAGACTGGGTTGCACTGCTATGGAAGTAAACATTTTCAAGCAGTTATCTTGGTGCCCTTGTTTAAAACAATAAAATCAGCACCCATAACTTTCTTTCAAGTGTCTTTGGTCCAGTCAAATGACATCACAAGTTCCTTACCACCACGTCAGTTGGTGGATCCTAAATGCTGAAAAAAGCAGCACCGTTTCATTATATGCAGCATTCTCCTGTAAGTTCAGGACAGCCTCACGGCACTACCACAGGGGTGTTTTTCTTGACACAGAGGCAGTAGGATGAATGAAGATGGACATTCTGTAGAGGACCTTCTGTAGAGGACAGCATTGGAGACAGGGTAAATAGTGTGATGCAGGCTGCTTTTTTACTTTTTTTGGAAAGTATTTTGATTTTTTTTTTTTCATTAAAGTGGAACTAGCCATGAAATGTAAAAAACTGCTAGCAGATCAATATTTATGGTAGAAAAGAGAGATTTCCTAAAACTGGAGCACTTAAAATCTGGTACAGCTGTGCGTGGTATCCAGTCAGCTTCTAACTTCAGCTTGTTCAATTCAACATTGACAATAAAACCTGGAAGCTGATTGGTTACTATGAACAACTGCACCAGACTTTGCCCTCTCCGTGTTTAGTAAATCTCCCCCTGTATGTCTTTTCTGCCATAAAATCTGCTGACCCCCTTCCCTGATAGCAATTTTTTACAAAATTGTACACTGCCAGATGCACATACATAGCCCCATGTATAATCCTGGGATGCAACAGACTGGCATCTGCCAGGAAAGAATGCTGAGTATCAAGATGAATGAATAAAAACACCAAAAATGCAGCGCTTGAGCATGTAGTGAGAAGAAAATAGCGTATGCACATCCGGATTAAAAGAAATACATTAAAGGTATAACATGCACCAACTTAAACGCACAAATTAATGCAAACAATGGACGGGTAAGTATTAGTGATTCATCCGACCAAAACAAAGTGCATATAGTGATAGGGATGTTAGAGTCATTAGAAGTGCATCCGTGTATCAATCAAATTCGTGACTTCCGTGATAGGAGAATAGCTGCAAAACGCACTAACCAGATAGCGCAGGAAAAAGCGCATTGGAGTATAATGACCTACTCCCGGTCACAGCCCAAAGATCATCAGCGAAGGGACCTCAGGAACAACTTTGCATCAATCATGCCGTCTCCTACCACCAGGGGGGGGGGGGGGTACGCCTCCTTACAGTTACACGAATTTGCCTTATATCATCTTTCGCCAGGGGTGGTGTGCTTTCGTATCAGGAGATCACCTTAGGGACTCAGCAATAAGACCCAAAAGAGAGAAATCTTGATAGTGTAGTAATTTTTATTCAAAAGGTTGCTAAAGAACAAGTAGCACACTTACATAATGATATCCAGAAAAGCTGATTAACAGAATCCAAAAAGATGGCCGACAGTCAGATGCATGGACCATGTGGGTAACAAGTAATATGAGAGGTATCCTTATCCGCGTTTCGTGGCAAGAGCACATTATCCTTTGATAATGTGCTCTTGCCACGAAACGCGTTAGGGATAAGGATACCTCTCATATTACTTGTTACCCACATGGTCCATGCATCTGACTGTCGGCCATCTTTTTGGATTCTGTTAATCAGCTTTTCTGGATATCATTATGTAAGTGTGCTACTTGTTCTTTAGCAACCTTTTGAATAAAAATTACTACACTATCAAGATTTCTCTCTTTTGGGTCTTATTGCTGAGTCCCTAAGGTGATCTCCTGATACGAAAGCACACCACCCCTGGCGAAAGATGATATAAGGCAAATTCGTGTAACTGTAAGGAGGCGTACCCCCCCCCCCCCCTGGTGGTAGGAGACGGCATGATTGATGCAAAGTTGTTCCTGAGGTCCCTTCGCTGATGATCTTTGGGCTGTGACCGGGAGTAGGTCATTATACTCCAATGCGCTTTTTCCTGCGCTATCTGGTTAGTGCGTTTTGCAGCTATTCTCCTATCACGGAAGTCACGAATTTGATTGATACACGGATGCACTTCTAATGACTCTAACATCCCTATCACTATATGCACTTTGTTTTGGTCGGATGAATCACTAATACTTACCCGTCCATTGTTTGCATTAATTTGTGCGTTTAAGTTGGTGCATGTTATACCTTTAATGTATTTCTTTTAATCCGGATGTGCATACGCTATTTTCTTCTCACTACATGCTCAAGCGCTGCATTTTTGGTGTTTTTATTTGTCTATGAGGAGGTTATACGAGGTTTACCTTCATGCTAGCAGCTTGAATCTTTGAGACCAAGCGCTCGTCTTTTATCCCATTTTACCATCAAGATGAATGAACTGCAATGCTTATGCGTCATCCTTGCCCAGCCAATCAAGCCTGCTGAAGACTCCTGATTCGAGCAAAAGAAGACACACCAGTGACGGATTGATGAGAGATGACAGATGTCACAGTGCTGGAGGGGGCACTTTACAAGGTAAGAGTGCCACAATGTACAAATCTGCTGTGTATGCTTGCACATTACAACAAAAACACCTAGGGGACCTGAAAATACATTTTCTTTTCTATTTTCAACCTGAAAAGTATAATTCTGCTTTGAATTGAGAAAATGCAAAGTGTTCTCTGAATGGTGCCTGTGCTGAGCAAGCAACCCCCTGTGTTCACAATGCAGCAGGACATCAGCTCAATATGGGACCCTGAGGATAGTGAAGATCAGTATAGTAGCGGTGCCTACTACAGTGATTTCCAGCTTCCAGGGGGATTCCACAGGAATGGCACATACATACTTACATTGATCCAAGCTGCACCAAATGTAAAATAGTCCATATCTGAAATTCACTTTTAAATACAGTGACATCTGTATAGAAGGTATAAAAATGTTGACTTTCGAAAATGCTTCATAAAATGGGAAAATACAATTTTTCCAAGGATTCAGTACATTATTATTCAGTATTGTGTGTAAAACATATGGGTCACCATACAATCTTTCTACAATCAACATTAGATTTACCAAAACTGTGTAATATGAGGACCTACCTGAACTATCCAATCATTTTTTATCTGACCGTGCAGGCCTTAAGTCTGGTACACATGATGAGAATAGTGGACGAATGATCATCCGTTTTTTTTTTTTGCATGCTAGTCTCATATAGAAAACAATAGGTTACGCGTAATACAGAATACAACTTCCTGCGATGATGTGATGTATCGTATATTGTAATATAGTCTTTCGTTTCCAAGCATGTGCAGTCTTGGTCACTCAATTTTTTATGGACAAATACTGTACTGATTAAGCGAAAATCATTTGTTCTGTTATCTTACAATAAACATTTTCGTGTGAACTGTTGTGATTGGCTCTTGAAAGTGTACCAATGATCGGATTATCGGGTGAGTGCTCAAAAAAAAATTCCCCCCCCCCCTTGATATTCTCATTGTGTCCACTAGTCAAACACTACATACTGTTGGCAGCACTAAGGCCCGCCCTCTGCACTGACGCATATGTGCGCTACACTGGCAGGAAGATTTTAAAGCAGAGTTTCACCAAAAGGGTAAGCTCTGCTTGTCAGCCTTCTCCCCCCCTCTAATGCCAAATTTGGCACCTTTGGGGGGGGGGGAAGGGGGAGCGGTTACCTGGTTTTGACAGTTCACACCCCCCCTCCTTCCACCACAGCCTTCTGGGACACTTCACAGGTCCCAGAAGACTGTGGCACATTCACAAAGCGAAGCTCGCTTCACGCATGTGCTGTAAGGAACCTGCTCTGAAGCCACAAGGCTTCACTGCCGGTTTTCCTTAGTCAAGATGGTGGTGTCAGCACCCGATGAAAGAATCAGCTCAGATGAGGACACAGCTGGATGCCTGGACAGGAAAGTGCTCCAATATTAAAGATCAGCAGCCACAGTAATTTTTTTTTTGAGGGGGGGTGGAACTCTCTTTAAAGTGGAGTTGCACCTGAAAAAAAAAAAAGTCAGCAGCTACAAAAACTGTAGCTGCTGACTTTTAAAGTACACAGTTATCTGTCCCTCGGTCCAGCGGTGTCCTCACCACCGCTGGTTTCACCAGCCGTCTTCCCTCCCTGGCACCAGCATCTTTAGTGTGGGCACCCGGCTGCGACAACTTGCCGCTTCACAGCCGAGTGCCCACTGCGCATGCGCTAGAAGCGCTGCGCTTTGTGAATGGCCCCATAGTCTTCTGGGACCTGTCATGTGTTCCAGAAGACTGCCCACTGTGCATGCGCTAGAAGCGCTGCGCTTTGTGAATGACCGCATAGTCTTCTGGGACCTGTCACGTGTTCCAGAAGACTACGGGAAGGGAGGGGGGAGGACAACTTCCGCTTCCGATCGCTTAGGCGATTGCAGCGGAAGTGGGAGCGGGTACCTGTCAATTTCGGGTACCCCCGCTGCCCAAAGGTGCCAATCCTTAATGGGGAGCGGGGGACAAAGGTTTAAACGGAACTTCCAATTATGGGTGGAGCTCCGCTTTACCTGTGATTTACTAATGAAATACATGAAAAAGTATACTTCAAGGAAGCGGTTGTAATATCTAAAGTCCGAGCTCTGGCACAAAACACAGTTCTGTACATTAAAATCTGTCTACTCAGAAACATTGGAAAATATATGAAGCATTTCCCACCTCTCCCCAGTTAGAGGTTACCATTGTTGTGAGTAAAACTTCTGTCAGGTTTTATTTGCTGTCTGTGTCCACACTGAAGACATTTCCCCTTATTTCCTGTCCCAGAGACACAACAGGAAGTGGGTGGAAAATTCCACAAAGTGAGGGAAAATCCCACCTTTGCCATTGTCACCGGGACAGGCGTCCTTACTTACAACCTACCTTACTTACAATTC